TTGCTCTGGGATACAGATGTGGAGGAGCCCAAAGCTCCCCTGGTTCTTCTCCCTGGGGATTTTGCAAAGCCCCTGCATGCAGGGAGCTCCTCCCATCACTGGACTTCACTTGAAATTCCTAGAGCAGTAAAACTGGGAAGCAATGGAAATGGCAGGTGCCATTGGCAGGTTCTAGCAGTGATTTGAGCAGTGGAGCCAGAGGAGGGAGGGGGTTTTACTGGTGTTGATTTTATTCCTGCTTTTATTTTAAGCCTGTGAGAACAGGAGGTGTGACTCTGCCTGAAAGGGCTCGAGCTGTGGATGAGGAAGATGGTTGGTTACCCACACTGGAGGTGCCACGAGCCATTCAACAGAAAGTCATTACAGGTAAAAAAAGAGGGAGGTGACATGCAGAACAAGGCCCCTCAGAGGAAATGGTGTCACCCTCCTACCCCTGGGGGAGTCCTAGAGACACTGGCCAGTTGCTCCAGCTCCTTTCAGCACTTTGGGATGTTCCCTGGGGATGCTGGATCTCCTGCTGAGGGACACAGGCAGGTGGAAGGGATGCAGGAGCCACCTTACCTCCCCACAGCTGTGGGACCAGGCTCAAAAATGCTCCAGAAAGCCAAGAGAGATTGGCCATGGGCCCTGCACCAACTCCAGGGGCTGGTGAGTCCATCACTGCTGAGGGAGTTGTTTCTGTCCTAGAAGGAAGATGCTTTTCTGCATCATCAACACCCAGTGATGAACTGTGTTTACAACTCCATCTGACAAGGAGTTACACTCTGTTCCTTCTCCCTTTTCCCTGGAAGTGGGTTCCTCTGCAAGCAGAATTCCCAAGAGGGATGCACTGGGCTCCCCCCAAAGGGTCCAACCCTGCTGGGAGGGGGATGCTCCTCTCTGGGGGGAACCCCAGCCAAGGCAGGGGCTGCACCTCAAGATGGGTCAGACTCAAAGGGCACGGATGTTTGAGGGTGCAGGAGGCAGATTTTGCCCTCTCCAAAGCATCCCTTTGGAAGGAGGGAGTTCTGGCTGCTTTTAGGTCAAACCTCTTCATTTTATGTGGCTTTACACTTGATCAGTTTGTAATGTAAGTGAATTTGTTGGATGGGCAGGGAGAGGAGGGAGAAAGGTTGGACACCTAGTAGTTAGTGCTGAGTGTGTATTAAACTGGGAGAGAACATGAGAGCTGCTGGCTGAAAGAAAAGGCTGTAAGAATATGAACTGTCCCTTCCATACCTCATGGAGACCAACAAGGATCAGTTCAACCCATTGGGTTTTCCTTGGGAATCATAAAAAAAGACTCTCAGAAAAGAGACTTCACATGTAAGAGGTAATTTTACCATTTCAATGGACTTTTTTCCCCCCCTTCCTGTGCTCTGCCAAGGTTTTGTATTTATTGCAGCCTCTTCCAGCTCCAGGCTGGCTGATCCTTATCCAATGTATGTTGTCCCTTGTCTTTCCCCACAGGATATGCTGGATTCATCCCTCGCATCATCTGGTTTCCTGGCCTGAACTATGTCCAGAGTGTGAAGGAAGCCATGAAGGAATTTGACCAACTTCAGGTAGATTATAATCCACAAATCTATTTCAAGACTATGTTGTTGGCATTGATTCACCTGCAGCACAAAAAGCAGTTTCTTTTACAGCAGTAGCATTAGAACCTGGGCTGGAAGCACAAGCAAAAAGAAAATGCTCTTGGGTCACATGTTGAAAAAAAAATCATGAGCAATTAAATTCTGTAACTTGTTTCCTTGGGACATGAAGGGAGGATAAATGAGCTCATAAAAGGATTAAGCAAATCTGTGGAGGGTTGGTTCAAGGGTGGCTATTAAAAGTGTTTCTCTGAGTGCAGAAACAGGAGCAGCTCTCCATGCTTCCCTTCCACAAGGCACCTGCAGCCCTGGGTGGCTCCTGGCCTGCTGGGATGGGCATTTCTCCCCTTGCCTTGGTTCTAAGGCTTTCTCCTTTGCTGCCATAATTTGTCTTAAAGGGTCTGGCTTTTCTTTCTCCTCCTTTTGGGAAGGATGCAGAAATATCCTTGCTGAAAAAAAATGCTTTGTACCCATTGGCTGTATGATCTGCCAAGTCATGCCAGGTAACCCTCCTACCCAGGAAAATGAGGTCCCTCCCACAGCAGTTAGTAGTTTGCATTCAGAGCTACAGGCTCCTTCCTGTGGGATGGAGAGAGGTCCCTGGGATGCAGGGTCTTGCTGGGAAGGGCTGATCACAACATGCCCAGGATGTGGTGCCTCCTTCCCAGAGCCTATGGGTCTGATGTAGAGAAAAATCCAAGACTGAGGATTCCCAGCCCAGAGAAACTGCAGAAGAAACAGCTCAGCAGCAGAAGGGGGAGCAGCAGGGCTGGCAGTGCCCATGGCAGCCCCAGCTTTGGCTGAGGTGTCTTTGCTGACATCCCCATCCCCTCCTCCTGCCCTGCACAGGGATTGAAAGGAAGCAGACAGAAGCAGCCCCAGGGGTTCTCAGCCCTGGTGCTGTTTGCAGAGCCTTCCTGCCCCTGGTTTCTGCAGGACCCCCCTGCCATGCAGTGGATCCATGGGGGGGGTTTCCCCAGGCTGGTTGCAGCACCAGGGGCTGAAGGAGCAGAAACACTCTGGGGAGAAAAAGAAAATCCCAGCACGTTTCTAGCTAAGATGGCTTCTGACTTCAAGCCACTAATCTGCTGCCCTCAATCTCTGTTGCCCTGGGTGACAGTGGGATGTGCCAGGGATCCCTGCGTGACACCCTCCTGGGCTGGGGGCTTTGCAGCCAGGGCCCCCTGCTCTGCTGGGCTGTGACCCCCTGGCCCTCGCCCCGGGGAGGCTGTCACAGCTTTGGGGACATCTGGAGGGGTTTTGCCACTGCAGGGATCTGCAGAGCTGTGACATCCACCCTCCAGCCCAGCCCTGACCCCAGGGATGGATCCAGAGGTGATTGACCCTGGCAGCTCAAGCTCCCTCAGCCTTCCTGCTCCTCCCTGGGCCTGGGAATTGCTGGCCAAGCACCAGCAGGGAGAGGGGTCAACCCAAACCCCAGCTGGGCAGGACTCAGCTCCAGCAGCTGCTGTGGCCTCGGGGTGTGTAGATGATGAGCTCAGGTCCAGTCTGGAAAGATCCCCAGGACTTCTCCTGGCCCAGGAGCTGCCCCGGGCACCCAGGGGAGGAATCAGCTGCTGAGGGTGCTGCCAGCACCCATTGGGGAAGAAACTTAGAGTGGAAAAAGCAGAGGGGGGAGCAAGACCGCTGCAGAGTCACATTCTGGGTGAGTATCTACATGTATTTTTTGGATAAACAGGATGATTTTTAGCCTCTTCATCCCCCCTACATCTTCCCAGCCCCAGCAGTGATCGGTATCCTCCTCACAATGTACACAATACATGATTTCCTTATTTAGTTGCTACGTGTGATTAACTGCTGATGTGGGGTACACCAGTCAGAAACCTGTGTGTCAGAAGCCAAGAGCCCCCAAAAAGCATATCTTGCAGAACAGGTAAAATGAAAAAATGCCCCCCTTACAGATTATTTGCGATTTTCAGCTTTTTACTCTGCAGCCTTCAGCCCTCCCAGCAGTGCCCTGCAGAGCCCACCACTTCCCTAAACTTACTGACACAAAACTGAAACAATCTTGAATAGTCTAGGAGGAAAATCAGTAAAGGACTAGTTCCCAAAAGAAAGCTTTTTAATAGCTTAGGGGCTTTCGTGCACAGAGTTTTTACCTTCTGGCATTC